GGGGGGGAAGAGAAACGATGAGCTTTCCACCGCATCGTCCCCTCTCCTTCCTTTTCTCCTCCATTTCCTCCTTCCCCTCTTTCTTCTCCTCTCCCTCCTTCTCCTCCTCCTCATGCTCCTCTGTTTCATCCCACTGTCTGTTTCCGTCAAACTCTCCCCCTCGTGTGCCTCCCAGCCGCCAGTATCAAGCCCTGTTGTTTGCATTAAGAAAAAAAAGAGCCCTGCCCAATGACGTTGCCTCCTCGTCTTCTTCTTCTTTGTTGGAGCAGAGAGACACGGGCCCGTGAAGAATGTAAAATTTATTAAGAACGAAAAAAAGAAGTATTGTCATATTTATTTGTGCTTGGACCTACAAGTGACTTGGCCAATGAAGAAGACTATCCTTTATTTCTTTAACACACACACACACACACACAAAAACACACACACACACACACACACACACACACACACAGAGTGGGTTGGTGTAAATAAAGTCGACCACTTTGCTCTCTTAGGGGTATGGCTAACTCTGGGCGATGTGGTGAGTCCTTATCCATCAGTCAAATGCATCCTGGGCACACCGTCGGGGTTCATCCTCCTGATGAGTCGGTGAAGTCCGACGAAACAGTCTGGCACAGTCGTGATTTGTTTGAGTGTATAGCGAGTATAACAACACACACACACACGCACACACACACACACACACACACACACACACACACACACACACATGGTCATGCTGTTTCTCGCTCTTCTTTGCGTTCTAATGCTGAGGTAGAATCTAGAAGAAAGAAATAAAAAACACAATGCTTCCCCAGGTGAGGTACAGTCTCTCCTTTTCCACTCGACAAGCAATGTGATACACGTCCTCCCTCCTCCTTTGCGTCTACACGTCTTCTCCTTATGCTTCTTAGTTTTCCTTCTCCTCCTTCCCACTTCAGTCTCAGGCGGCATGGAGAAACCTTCCCTTGCCAATGTGATACTCTACTGTCGCTCCCACGTGCTCTCCACACGTCACAACACACCTCCTCTCGCACCCTGCACCCTCCATCCTCCTCCTCTTCCGCCTCCTTTCTTCTTCTTCTACTTCTTCTTCGTCTTCCACTTCTTCGTCTTCTACTTCTTCGTCTTCGTCTTCTTCTTCTTCTTCTTCTTCTTCTTCTTCTTCTTCTTCTTCTTCTTCTTCTTCTTCTTTGTCTAAGGGTGAGTGAGAGCATAGCAGCAAGAAAGAAAGAACAAAAGGGATTGAAGGATTGGAAAAGCACGGTGGCTGAACCACGAACTGGAGCGTCCACACTTCGTCAAAAGAGGAGAAAGGAGGAGCAGCAGGAAGAAGAGGACACCTACGTCCCAAGGGCCTGTCTTGGGCTACAGGCTACCCAGAAATATCCGAGTTTAAACAGATTACTAGGAGGGTCGGAGTCGCAGGGGAAGAAGAAAAAGGTGAGCGGCAAAACGGTGACAAATAGATCCTCCTCCCCCTCCTCCTCCTCCTCCTCCTCCTCTTCCTCCTCCTTCTCCTTCTGAATGGGGAATATTTTCATTGAGGAGGAGGAGGAGGAGGAGGAGGAGGAGAAGACGATTTAAAAAAAAAAAAGCAAAGCTTTCGAGTTGGGAGTTGAAGCGTAGCTAACGGGCAGCGTGGTGGTCCTTTCTTATCCGAGAACTCTCATTAAGGAAAAAGAAAAGAAGATGGAGAAATAGGGTTTGCCGAGAGAGGGCATGGCGATGGCACAACGTGGCAGCACGTTCGGCATTGGAGCCTCGAGTGAAGGAGAGGTTGGGAGGAGTAGGAGGACAAAGGAGCGGTGAGAAACGAAGGCGCAGGGGCAAAAACAAAAGGAAACGTTTTGAGAATGGGGACAAGACGGCCCCTTTGGGACGGGCTAGTTATTCAACACTGCAGGGGAAGGAGAGAAGAGGGAGGAGGGAGAGAGGAGAGAGAGAAGAGGGAGGAGAGGCAGGAGAGGCAGGAGAGGTAAGAGAGGGAGGAGAGGGAGGAGAGGGAGGAGCGTGAGAATGGGGAGGTGGGCGACGAGAAGAAGAGAGAGGGGAGGACGAGGAGGAGGAAAGGAGGAGGAGGAAAAGAGGAGGAGGAAGGGAGGAGGAGGAAGGAAGGGAGGAGGGAAAAAAGAGAGGAGTTTAAGGTAGTCAACGAAAGCCGACCACGCCACATTTCAGTGGTTGAGGCGTCGAAATGAAGAAGAAGAAGAAGAAGAAGAAGAAGAAGATGACCATGGGGATGGTGAAAGACGGTTAGCCGTCGGAAAAAGGAAAAAAAAAAAAAAAAACGGGATGTCGGATGCAAGCATGACGGCCTGTCACTGAAAGAGGGCCGAAGAGGAGAAACAAGAAGAGCGAGGTGAGAAGGGAGAGAGGAGGTGGAAGAGGAATAGCAAGAAGAACAACAAACGTCTGTGAGGGAGGATGTGAAGAGAGCGGTTCGAAGAACCCTTCCAAGAGCCGGTGCATTCACCATTGGGGAGTCGGTCGAGGCGGAGAAGAGGGAGGGGAGGAGAAGGAGAGGGAGGAGCACAGAGAGGAGGAAAGCAAGGAAAAGAAGGAAAAAACGAGGATGGGGACAGAATAGGGAGGGTAAGGAGAGGCCGAAAGAGTTGAAATACAAATCTGGAGGCATAGAAAAACAGAAAAGAAGATGGTTTGAGCCGAGTGACAAGAATGTCCCGTGCGTCGTGGATATTGCATTTGTGATGACGGGCTCGAAGAGAGGAAGACGAAGGAAGAAGAGAAGAGAGCCAATCTAAGAAAAAGACGAAGAAGAAGAGGAAGAAGAGAAGAGAGCCAATGTAAGAAGAAGACGAAGAAGAAGAAGAAGAAGAAGAAGAAGAAGAAGAAGAAGAAGAAGAAGAAGNGAAGAAGAAGAAGGAGGAGGAGGAGGAGGAGGAGGAGGAGGAGGAGGAGGAGAAGAAGAAGAAGAAGAAGAAGAAGAAGAAGAAGAAGAAGAAGACGAAGAAGACAGAAAGAGAAGAAAAAGAAAAGGAAAAGGAAGAAGAAGAGAAGTTCACCCAAGTTTATTGTTTTTGTTCCGAGAGAAGGGAGAAGAAGAGCACAGCGTTCCAACTCACCTTTCAAGCTTAGTGTGCTCTGTCTCCCTCTCTCTCTCTCCCCCCTAAGTCCCCCCCTCTATCTGCCTCTCTCCCTTTCACTGCCGTGGCCACTCGAGGCAGAAGGTGGCTAGCCCCAACAAAGTAGTAGAACGACGTCTTTGTCATTTCACTCTCTTTAAGCGGGTCTCCTGGACCACCACGACCAGGCCAGTCCCTCGTACAGGTCCTATGGTACTAATAACATTCACATACCTGAGGGGGGGTACCGAACACCTCCTCACAGTCACGGGCTGCCGAGGAGGTGTTGCCCCTCGAAAGGACCAGAGGGGAAGCAACAGCCAGAAAAAAAAATCCGGAAAAGGACACAACAAAAATCTAATGTGATGTAACGTCGGAGGGAAGAAAAATGCTAGGTTAAAAACTTCCATCAATCAGAACAGAATCGAGTCCTGTCACGTCCTGTTGCCTCAGGAGACGGGACTGAATGAAGAGATAAGATTGAGGATTACTTTTTCTTCAAAAGCCTCCATTCTCTGTGCGTCATGTGCTGGACAGAGCACCTGGCTCCCTAAAGATCTCCATACAGATGGATATGGCCATGTTCAAGACCAAAAGCATTGGGCCTCGCTCCACTCCAGAACACATTAAAAAAAACGATCTGAAGGTGGTAACGGTCCCCATGCACTGCAAATGTTACATCGGTAAGGAACGTATGTGGTCCTATTCCCGATCAAGTACGTGTGGAATGTTCCGTAGTGGAGGGGAGGGCCATTCTCGCAAAGAACCGTTCAGCAGATAATGCAAACAATGAATGGGAGGGTGCGAGGTCATATACTGAAGAAAAGCAGCAATTTTGTGACAGGGCCCACAAGTGTGGATGGGAGCTGCACAGGGCACAAGGGATGCCACGGAGCCGTCTATTTCACAAATACATGGACATGAGACTTAGGGAAGGGCCTCAATTGGCTATGTCTAGGTCTTTGTTGGGAAATCTGATGGCCATAATGAGCCGGTAAGTATCAGCTGCACGTGGCATGCGTTAGACGACCTAACCTAGACGTCCACAAAGCTCTGTGTGGCCTGCGTGGCATGCACTGGACAGCCTAACATAGACCTATGTCTAGGTCACATGGCCCCAGCCTTGCAGAAAGTTTTTTGTCTCCACAAGCAAAGGAGACACCTCGCGGTCAGGGGCGCCGTTGGAAAAAAAAAATCGCCTGCGGGTTTCATGCTGACACCTGCGGGCCGATGTGTGGTGTACTGGTGCTTAAACCACCAGTACATGGGCACCTGGGCCGCGGGTCTGACACCTCAAATTCTGGAGGCGGGGCCGCCGATCGAAATTTATGAACGGCGGGCCCAGCATTTGAAGTTTCGGCCTCATTTTCTTGTAGCGACAAGTTTCGGACTGCAAGGCAAGGCCTGTGTACTTGAGGTTTAACACCTGGGGCAAGAAAGGCTGGTATGAACATACGGAGAAGGATTGCAGTTAGGATTAGGATTCCCTATAGGAAGGATATTAGACCACCAGTACTTTTCCCAACCATTTTTCTATAGAAAGGATATTAAACCACAACCACCAGTACTTTCCGGCCTGCCTGTTCGCCAACAATATATGTCCAGGCAAACCGGACCATGTGCCTTTATTCTGAACCAGCAGGCTGGTTCACCCCGCCAGATCTGGGACGAGAACAGCCGCATCATAGAACAATGGCTGGGAAAAGTGCTGGTGCTGAGAGAAGTCAGAAATGTTATGATCAATAAGCCGGAATGCTGCAAGTTGCATCCTGCTATTACAAAATATTTAAGCCACAAGTTCCTTTCCCAGCTGTTTTGCTCCAGAGAGAGGGGGGGGGAAGGTTAATCCGCCGCATTAGCAGGGGGTTGGTCTACCAGACGAAAAATGGCATGCAAAATGAGAATATTTTGCGACTGCGTTAATTCGCTTTTCTTTGGCGTGCGGTGGCAATTGGGGTCGGGAAAAAGTGGCTCGGAGGGAATGGTGGTTTAACCACGACCAAGGGCCTCGTTCGACACCACTTGAACTCAAGGGTTGAGGGGAAATTCTTCGCTCCACCCCTCCCTAATGACACCCCCGTAATGTTTTCACTTTCCTGCTCTCAAGTGTGCATCATTGAAACTCAAGTTTGGCTGGGGCAAAATCGCACTTGAACTCAAGGTACCTCCCCGAGGTATCTTGAGTTCAGGTGCGAACGGATACTGCAGAGCACTTCGAGTGGGGGCTTTTTTTGTTTTTCTTTTCTTCTCCAGCAGGCATCCTGGCCCAGGATTTGTCAAGCTGTGGGTTTTGGTTTCAAGTGCAGCTTGTTCAAGGCTTTCCTCAAGTGTATGTGGAACCACAAATGGAGTTAGCGTAAATTAATCTCAAATTCTCATTTAGGGCGCCCTTGAAACTCGAGTATTTTCAAGTGGTGTTGAACGAGGCGCTAACTTTCCCAGGCAACATTGAGAATAAAAAATGTAGCATTTGGGGTTCTTAGGAGGCTTGGGGCTACCAGACCCCAATGGCTGGCGGTGCCAGCCAAAAGAAAAAAAAGAAGAGCCACATTGGCACTTCCGCAAATCTTGGAGTGCAAGGGGAATCCACCTTGGCAAAAGTGCCTTGGAGGTAGTGGTGGTTTGAGAGGAAGGTGAAAGTGGTAAGGTGGAAAAATAGAAGTGTTTCTGAGATTTTATGCAATCACAGCTTCCTTTCCTGAACAGGAAGGAAGAGCTCAAGTGTATGTGCGAGCAATATGACCTACATAATTTCTGAGCAGGCAATCAACGGAAAAAATGTTGTTAGCCGTTGCAACGACAGTTGATGAGGAGGTGTATGCAACAAAGAGGTAATTCATCATTAGAAGGGTTTGTTAGGGATCCTGAGGGTTGTGAGCATTCGTAGGACCTCTGTGGCAGGCTATTGCATGAGTAGTTCCCTAATAGGTCATTAGATATTCATGATCCTCCCCATGTTTCTGAATCACATCGTGTTCACAGATTGTTCTCAGCCGAAGCCGGGTAATGGCCCCGGTATCGCAAATGATCTCAAATGATCTCTAATGATCTCAAATGATCTCAAATGTTCTCAATGATCTGTACAATTCGATATGGGACGCTGGGCCCGGTTCCATCACCGTTGCCTTGCTGCCTATCCCGCTTGGGTCACGTGCTGTTCGTTGTGTGCTGTTACGTTCGCTGTGCAGTCTGGTTGTGGTAGTCGTGTTGCCTTGTGCTTCGCCACGCTGCTTCCAAGCTGTCCATTCATGTGTCGTGCCTTTTGGGTTCCTTGCTTGTGTGTCGTGTAGTGTGGTGGTCGTGTGGTTGTTGCCTTGTGCTTCATTACACGGGCGCTGTGCTGTGCCTCCACTTGCGGTGTTGTTCCTTGCAGTCGTCTGTGTCGTTCTGCAGTTGAGTGACTTCTGGTGCGTTGCCTTGTGCTTCGCAGGGTTGTTTCTTGCTGCTGTCCGCCGTTTCACGTGTTGTTCCTTGCAGTTGTCTTTGGTGTTGTGCGGTTGAGTGACTTCGGGTGTGTTGTCTGGTGCTTCACACGGGTGCCGCTCGCTGCTATGTTCCGCTTGTGGTCAATCTGCCTTCAACAAGGGTCAAAGGGTTCATGACCCAAAGCATCCAAAACCGGTACTCCGCAGATTGTCGAGGGTTCAGCCTCCTGATGAGTCGGTGCAATTCCGACGAAACAATCTTGTTATCATCAGTTTATTTTTTTCGGTCCTTCGACTTTCTTGGGACTTGTTTTTTTTTTCAGTTTGACCGTTTCCATCGTGGCTACTTGTTTCTCAGCTCACTGTCTTTCCCTTGTCCTATCGTGTTCTTGTGCCCGCCCCCCTCCCCCGTGCCCCTCCAGCCTGTGTTTTGTTGTTGCTTGTCGTTTATGTGCGTCGTATGTCTCCCCAGTATATCTCCTGTTTGTTATTCCCTTTCTCTTTCCAATGTGTTAGTCTGTTTCACTTCAATAGTGGGGTGCTGGGCTTCTTGCTGTTTGCTTGTTTTGGTCATGCCATACGAAGTGGACGATTTATTTCTTGGTGTGTTGCTTGATGTGCTATTTCCACGCAGTTCGCCACGTCTGTTCACGTGGGGGTTTTGTCTCATATCACACACACACACACACACACTCACAAGCGGCAACTGCAGCGCCATGATGACGGACTGTGTCCGCCGTCATGCCTCAGATGTGTCCAAAGTATAGGCAGGAGAAACATGGGTGATCTAAATCAAGTACAAGCATCCCAACAAGAAGAAGAACATGATGAAGACTCAGATGATGAGTAAACTGAGAGAGACAGCATGGTGCTTGACAATATGGGATGCAGGGGGACAGGAATGCATACACAAAATGTTGCACCTCCCAGCGGGAAGGAAAACCCACATGCCAGCAAGCACACACGTCGTCTGCTGACCATTTCACACTCTCATGGATCCACAAGCTTCTCCACTCACAGACAATGTCATGCAATGGGAAGATTGCAATGCTGGGTGTGGAAGCAGTCAAAGTGCAACCGGTACGAGGGGCCACACTTCAAGGAATCCGATGTCAACTGTGTGTGCACACATCTGATCAGCAGGGCATGTGTAATGGGTACTAATGACCATTTCTCACATTGTCTAACGAAATCGGAATATGCACATGTATCTTGTGGCAGGTTTGAAAATGGGCAAATTCCAAAAAAAAAAAAAACAAAAAAAAAAACAAACATCATACTGGCCATCATGGCGGAGGGACAGGATTCCAGGCGTGATGTGTCCTTTGACATGTTTAACGTAGTATGCGGCTGCATGGGCTTTAGCAAAAGCAACGTGACCAGTTCATCAACGTAAATCCCTTGTCAGCCGGCAGGGCGTGGCGCCACCGGGAGTGCTACGCCCTGCCCTAGGTTGCGACATCGCACAAGTGGGCCATGGTGAAGGTGTGCGGCGGCGATGGTGGCCATCTCTTATCTAAACTGGGCGCTTTGCGCACGCGCAGGTGACCGGAGGCGCTTTTCCGTGCCACGTCACAAGCTGATGTGGCGGATGGACTAACTCCCGTTGGCTTTTCTTCTTCTAGGAGTTCCACGTTTCACACCATTGCTGCTGCGTTTTTGCACGTGGCATACGACCTGAGAGGCGTTGGCTACGTCGACGTCTGTGGAATACAGTGGAGTCAGCCCTTGGTAAACTGAAGTGCGAGTGCAGTAGCGACTGCAATCATGAGGAAGCGGATGTGTCAGCATAATCAGGGTGCTGCTCGTCATCAGCAATGGGGCGCTGATCATCACCAGCACCATCATCAACAAGGCATGGTTCGACACCATCATCACAGTAAGGGTTCGTCATCATCATCAGGGTGCTGCTCATCATCATCACCATCATCATCATCACCATCATCATCATCACCATCACCATCATCATCATCACCATCATCATCATCACCATCACCATCATCATCATCACCATCATCATCATCACCATCATCATCAACAGGGTGTGGTTCGACATCATCATCACGGTAACGGTTCGTCATCATCATCAGGGTGCTGCTCGTCATCACCATCATCATCATCAAGGTACCGCTCATCATCAACATTAAGGCGTAGGTCGCGTCCTCCCTCAAAGATGTTGGGGTAGGGTTTGAGGGAGTTGTGGTAAGGTGGGGGTTGTTGATGGAAAAGGGAGAGGGATTATTTTATGGATTGTTGCTCTTATCGTGCGACCTAGATTACTCCGGAGGTCATGCTTAGGGTTGTGAGGGTGTTTGTCTATCTTGACGATAATACTGATTACGTTCTCATGATTAGTGAGATAGGTTTTTCTTTCTCACGTTCTAAAAAGTTTGAATACAAATCTGAAAATATTTTATGTAGATAGCTTTTGTTGGATAAATCAACTGGAGAATTACATAGTATTGGATGATAGTGCTAATTAGGGTAGCTGATGGTATATCCTAATGACAATTTTGTATATCTGTTAAATTCCAAAATTTTGGTTCATATTCCTTTTGTATTCAATTGATTGTCGATTTGTTTTCTCTACTGAGCAACTTCCTGATTTACGATCTGAGTGATTTCTTGAACCTAGGGTTCTGGAATCAACGTCGAAAGTCCAATTGGACATCATAATTGTTTTCTAATTTGTCTCCCTATTTGGAGATTCAAAACTTATCATCTTAAATTGGTGTTAATTTCATGACGATGGATTTTCTGATTTTGATGCTAATTAGTTTTTACTTGGTAATTAATCTTTGTGCTTTTCTCGAGTCGTGAAAAAAGAGAAAAGGGGCGCAGCGCGACCGGGTGCGTTGCGCCCCCGTTGGAGCACCGTCGGAGCGGACGCGGCGCGACGCAGGAGCTAATAGAGAGTCTGGCGACGTGGTGGGCGGGTGGGGGCTGTGGGCGCGAGACTTGACAACGAGAGGGTAGAGATGATGTGACGCGACTTGGTGTGGCCTGCCTTTAATCTCCGACTTCACGCTTCACCTAGTGATGTTGCAGGCCAGAACGCTGGATGAAGGGAAGTCTGCCTTTGAAAGGGGGCGGGTCTTCATCAGATTCTTGGCATATTGGTTGCCTTTGCTTCTCTGCCTGCGTAGTTTTGTGGAGGATGGTCGGCTGATGCAGGTTGAACGGGAGGAGCGCATCCTCACGTGGAGTGGGAGGAGGATTGGAGGCGACATCGAGTCTGTGGTTTTTGAAGAAGGGCCAAGGGGTATCGACGGCAACTGCGTTTTTCGTCACGAGGGCATCTGGAGTGCGAGGGCGCTGTGGTCGAGTTTTTTTTCGCCTTGTTGATTGCATCTTGAGGATGAGCTTGACTTTTCTTTGGATAGTCCCTCTTGCTGATCATATGTGTATAATGGTTTCAGTCATATTCACCAATCTGGATTACTTTGATTTGCATAGCTGATGTTTACCAATGATGATGATCTAATTAGGTTTTTTGAATTTTGTCTTCTCTATTCTAAATTCACTCGTTTGTTTTTTAGGTTGTAATTCTGGATATTCTTTCTAAATGATGATGATCTGATTCAGTTTTCTGTCGGTGGTTCCTTCTGATAATATGGTTTCTTGAAAATATTTTCTTAATCTTTTTTGTGCCATACATCTCTACTAAACGTTTCTCAAACTGTGGTTTGAGAATCTGATTCAAAAATCCTTTATGGATATCTAAACCTAAACTTCGTATAATTTCTCTTAAATTTTATCACGCAATAGTTTTCCTTATCATTGATCGTATGGTTTTGAGTTTTTTCTTGATTTTTGATACAAACTCATTCTGATTTTCGATGACCAAAAGTAGGCTATTGTAGTATTTTTTTCAAAACCCTATGGTTGTTAATCATAACACCGTGCGGTAAATTTTGATTCGGATTGGCTTTCTCTGTTTGCTAATCTCAACTTATTGGTCTTGAGGGGTGTAATTATGGCTTGATGTGTATATCTGTGGGGTCTTCCTTGAGGGTTGGAGCCTCCCCCCGTGAGGGTTTCACAAGGTGGGAGGTGTTATTCTTGGAGGGGGGAGGCAGTATTGAGGGATTGTTGTTTCTTAGCCGGACTGATTTAGGGTCGGATCAGTACTGGCGGGTGGGGAGAGCAGGCAAGGGTGTGGCTGCTTATAGCAGTGTTAGGATTTTGTTTTTTGAGGGAAGGATTGTCTTCGATGGTTACATAGTGAGACGAAGGGGGGGGAAGCTAGATTTGAAGGAAGGAAGGTAGCAAGGGGATTCTCAGCAGAAAGGGTTGTTTGTTAGGGTAAGTAGGTTAGAAGGACGATGCTGGGACGACACAGGCCGGTGCTGGAGCCTCTGCTCTGTAACCCAGGGGGAGCTTGAGGCCTGGGAAGTTATGCCGAGGGTGGCAGGCATAACCAGATCGTCCGACGTAGTTGGCGCCGAGGTTTTGACCCTGTAACCTGTTTAGGGGCTCGCCGCTAAGGGAATTGTCGAAGGAGGAAGGCACTTCCTGTTCGTCAGAGTTAGGTTGATCGGTACTGGGGAGGGTTGTGGTGCCCTGTTACCTTAGCAGAAGGGGGTATGAGATCAAGTGAGTTCTGGTACGAGGACTGAAAGCCTAGACTGACGGCCCATCTGTTGGAAGGGGGAATCTAGGATAGTAGGTGGATTTAGTCTTGCCCCCCCCGCCCTTACATTTTTCTAATTTTTTTTTCGAATGCCCCAAAAAGAGTTGGGTGCTTAGTGGTCCTAGGAATGTTTTTTAGGACTTTGGGATCCCTACTAACTGGTCTTAGGTGGCTTCAATGTTGTTATACCCAGTGACCTGCGGTTGTTCGATGCCAGAACGATGCTGACCGGTGTTGGGGTGTTGCCTTGTAACCTGCGATGCAGAAGCGTGAGCTCTGGTAGAGAGATCTGGGGATGTCTTGGGGTGGGCGTTCCACGGGACAACCAAGGGGTGCTGCCGGGACGACGCTGGTCGGAGCTGGGGTGAGTCGCGCTGGCCTGTAACCCAACAAAAAGTGGGGGTGTGAGACCTAGAAGAGATCGGCAGGGAGTACGACAATTTTGGAGAATCAGTGATGGTGGGAGGTTGGCAAACCTCTTCAGTCGCCCGGAGGGGGGGTGGGGATTGATCCATAGGTAAGTGACCCATGGGGTCGTCCATGGATCTCTCCACCCCTTCCATAGCAGTCGTTGGAGTGTCCTGATTGTGGCCTGTGGTGGGGTCCCCGGTCCAGTCGATCAGGGGTGTGTGTCGATTGTGGTCTGTAATGGGGTCCCTTGTCCCCTCGATCAGGGCCGTGAAGCTGTTGTCCGTTGGGGTGGTTGGGGCAGCAATGTTCATGAGTTTTTCCTTCCATTTAGTCAAGCTTCGAGCTTTCGTTACCGCCTTCTCCCATCCGCCGACTCCTCCCGTTTTTCCCTGGTTTGTGCGAGTGTTGGGATGCTGTGTGGTCTGTTGTGTTCCCTGGTTTGGCAGCGGCTGGGCTGAAGGCTGACCCGTCCCATGGCTCGCTTCTCGAGTTTCCTGTGTGGTGTTATGGTCCCGAGATTTTTGCTGCTATGCGCTCTGCTGTGGATCCTGTGGATCTTGGCCCGCCCTGAGGTGGGACAAGGGTTGTGCTGTGCCAGGGCTCCTGGTCCGATGGACATACTGTGTGACCCTTGTTTGGGACCGGTGTCAGGGCGGGCGGGATTGCTTTTCTTTCTGGTAAGAGAAGCGGGCTGCGGTGCTATCCCAGTTCTCACTAATGAGTCACCATCTATGTAACCGTTTGAACGCCGTGAACGCGCGTTCACGTTCAATTCCACGTTTGAACGCGGGTTTAAATTCACGTTCAAAATTGAACGCCGTTTTTTTTTTTTTTTTTTTTTTTTTTTTT